ATCTTATAGAATCTTGGAAATTGCATTTGCAAATGTGGTTCAATTAATCACTTTTTTAATGTGTTCAATTACCTGAATTAGTTCATATGCAATTGTAGGTGATATATCCACAGCTTTTTGATAGCATTCATAAGCTGCTGATGTATTCCCACATGATTCATGCTCAATAGCACGAGCAAGATTTTCTTTTCTTGACCTGTGAGACAAAATAAAAAATATAAAAAAAAATGAAATTAGCTGATTTATTTAGGGAAAAAGTGTACCTAGCACGCTTAATTTCCTGCTCATTCTTCATTGGTAAATGACCTCCATCAAAGACTAAAATAGGTTTAACACCATAATGCCTCAACAAATTCACTCGATGCATACAATAATCCACATGCCTAAAAGAGAAAGAACATAGAAGTTAGATGAGAATCTACCAAGTGAATCAAATTAAACAACCAAAAAGAAAAACAAATGTACTTTCTATGTTTTTGATTGGAAAATTGTTGGAGAAGTTGCTTTTGATTAGATTATTTTCTATGTATCACATGATTGAAGTTGCAATCAAATGCTAAACTCACTTCTATGATACAAAAAAGCTTCATATAGTGAACATATTCAATTATATGATAAAGACCCATGTCCCAAAATGTATTAATCACACATCAACACACATGATAACTGATGAAATTTTGCTTCTTGAGGAAATTTTCACTATGAACTATACATGGATTAGTTTCAATTAATAATAAAAAGAATGGTAAGACCAAATGCAAACTGTCATGGTTCATGTTTCATTTCTTATGAGCAACCACATGCAACTAATATTAAAGAAAATAAAATCAAAATAAGCCTGAATAGAATTTTACAGTTAATTTTTCGTGCCCAAAAGGCCAAAACACTGATACATTAACATCGGTGTTTGAAAAGGTCATTAAAACAAACTGAAAACCATGAAATCATGAAAGACGCACGCAAATAACACCAATCTAGCCTTTTAATATCGATGGTCTCCATTTTCATATACAAGTAAACAATTAAAATAATATAAAATGAAAATGAAAATTCTTAACAAGTTGATTTTGCTTGCAAAAACCCTTGCAATCCACTTAGAATCCGACATGACAGGCTAAGAAACAAAATAAATAGAACCCATCATAAGAAATGTACTGGGAACAACAAAAACGAACGCAAGAAAGAGGGTTACTTGGAAGTAGGTTGGGATTTGCAGAGGTCCATACTGCAAGAAAGGGCTCCTTTATGAAGCCAGGAGTATGTATCCACAGCAACTGAACAGCCCTCGAGATCCTTTATGTGAATCGGAGCCATAACCGATTTCAGTAGAGGTAAAAGCCCCTGGATCCCCATTGTACTTCCTGCTGAAAAGCACCAATCGTTCACAGCTAGTATAACCCTAAATTGGTATCTGAAGGGGAAACGATTTATCCCCAATTTGGGGAGGGAAGATGTCGAAGATGGCGGGAATATTACTGGGCTACTTGAAGTGAAGACGTCGTATTACCACTTACACCCCCTTGGGTTATAGGGAATATCATAGAGGTCCTCCATATTATCCCGAATGTGAATGTATGATTGTATTAAGTTAATAGGATCCTATCATTGAGAGATTTGAAATTGATATTAATTTTCTAAATATTAAAAAAACAAATGCCTATCATTGAGACTATCTACGGAGGATAATTATCAAGGATGTGTTTGTTTTTTTACAAAAAGATGTTAATGGAATTAGACAATTGCATTGGTTTGTTTATTTTTTAAGAATTTCTTATTAAAAAACAACCACCAACCCATCGAATTTTGAAAAAATGTCTTGATTCTTTCAAACACATCCAATAAGTAACCCGAGTTTAAATAAACGGTTCCCAAAAGAAGGTTATGTGATGCCATTATGAAATGGGTTGTTTAGCATTGTTGCCAAATGATATATAATGATTATAATCAATAAAAAGATATAGTAAACACAAATTAAAACAGTTATAAATAAAGAAATTGAAAATAAGGAACATAAGTTAAAAAAATCATGGCCTAGAATATATTCTTAGAAGTTAAAAACTAAAAAAGTACTAAATGAAAATTTGTTTTATCCATGTATCAAAATAATGGAATTAAAGCAAATTCAAATAATTAAGAAAAATGTGTTTTGTAATATAGAAGCCAAACATTTGGTTCGAATTTGAAGCGCCTTAACCAACGGAACTAACTATTATTTGTGTTAAGACCTCGTAAAACTTTTTAATACTTCATACTAAATAATATTTATTTAGCAATTTTTTCAAAATCGGTTTGATGCGGTTTTTTCGATTTTTCAAATTCTAGAAACGAAAACCGAATCAAATCCTTTTGGTTTTTGAAAAAAAGAAGAAATTAACCCGTCCGTTTTATGTTTGGTGCAGTGTTTTGTTCACGGTTTTTGTCAGTTATTTTTTATTTATGATTCAGTTTTTGCTCGTCTCTAAATTATTATTTTCTAGAAAGTATCTTAAAAGCAACAGAGCAAGGTAGTTGGAGGTTGTTTGACAATATCTGAATTTTTAAGATATCTGAATTTCTAAAAGGGTCTAAATTTTAAAAATCTGAATTTTTAAGATGATATTTAGTTGAAATCTCTTAATTGTTGTGTTGAATGATAAAAATGACAATTTTACCATTCTTTATCGTTTTTTCCAATTACAACATTATGCTTTCTACATTTTCCTTATTAATACACCCTACTTTGAAAAATATAACAGTTTTTACTTAAAATTTTTTAATAGGGAAGTACAATGTTATAATAATCTAATAACTATAGATATAATGTTATTTCTTGTTACAATAGTCTAACCATGTTGCACAACCCAACCAAAATTCATCCTCTTCTAATGTCACCATGTGAAAAAAAAATTACATCATTCCCTTCATAAAGTGAAAGAAGACATGGTTTTAACTCAACAATTGTTGGCATGTGTCCGGGTAAAATACTCATTTGTCATGTTGTTGCAGGAACTATTACCATATTTACCTATAAAGTAATCATAACAACACACCAACACAAATCTCAGGTCAACAGAAGGAGTTTTAACATAACCTATGGCAAGATTAATCATATTCATATGTAGTGCAAAAATGAATCAATAAAGATTTTAAACTTTTGATTTGGTTCTAATGCACGATCAAAACAACTTTACACTATTGCACATATGCAACATAACCACTTTTTAATATATCTCAAGAATACAAACTCAACCAAATGCCCACAATTAAACTAATTACTTACAATGCAAACGTTGTAATTTTGTATGAATAAACCAAATGATTCCGATATATTGAACAAAACCTATGATATTTATAATATCCAATAAAAATCAATATAAAAAGGTAACATCAATACAAGGGGAAATTGATTACTTCATCATTGATTTCAGCAAAAAAAAGATATATAAGGAAAAACCGAAGAACAAAATACATACATGAAGAGGCGTGGAGCACTATTGTGAGATAGTGGCGCCAAATATGCGAACAGTGACGCTATAGATGCGAGGTCAGAGAATGCGGTGTGGCGATGGCCAAAAAAAGGGGTTGTGACTGCAACATCGGCAACAGAGGCGCGATTACAAGAGGCAAGAAAGAGATGAAACGATTTTTTTTGTCAAATAACCCTACAGAAAAATTTGGATAACAATTAAAGTAAATTGGTCTATTAGCAATATTAGTTTTAGCCATAACTATAATAGAATTTTGAAAATCTTTATGTATTTTTATCTCTTAGGATTAGTAAAAGTGGAACATCAATGCCAATTCTAAATAAAGGTTTGATAACGTTTTGAACTAAACCTATATGAGAAAATTTATATTTTTGTCTATGCTAAACAATAGATCATTTGATAATAAATTTATATTTTGTTGATTCTGACCAATAAACTGTGTTTGTTATGTCATTTTAATTGAATATATTTGAAAAATAATCAAAAGTTTCCCTTTTGAAAAAATGTATCAATACTTAGTTCAGGTATTGTCAAATCATTTAAACTTTATTTTATGTAAGATATGTGTTCTTTGATTAATTAAGATATTGTCCAATCGTTTAAATTTTTTTTTATGTAAAATATTTGTTATTCGATGAAATTTGTTTGATTATAATGATAATCCTATTCTTTAATATATTCGCCAACAATATATTTTTTTAGATAATAAAATATGAAAATCTATGCATATATCTATTTAGTTTTGAATTAATATTTTATAAGAAAACTTACTTGTTTTAATAATGATGAACAGAGGGGAGTCGACCCGACGATGTCCGACACCGGGACTTACAACCTTATACGTGCGTTTCACGTTAATCCAACCAATCAATTGTCTTAGACTCTGCCATATCTTGTTAAAACTCATAATTTAAAAAAAATCAAAATCAAATTAACAAGATAATTGAACTTGTTTAAACATTTGTTAACTAAACACATATTCACGCTTGACTCTAATACCATAAAGGCGAAATGAGGTTTTAATAAAGGCCGCACGAGGTTATAACAAAATATTTTGAAGAAACAAGAATAATAAATAAAACAATGTTTGAAAAATAGTATTTTAAATAGTACATTATTTGATTAAACTTGACATACAATCAATTTTTTTTAATGTTTCTTGGACTTAAATTAAACATTTGAGAAAGAATAAAAAGAATTTTAGAATACAATTTTTTGAATGCCTATAACGAAAAGGTTCAACCCTATTTATAGAAGATTTTGATTTTGAAATTGGTAACCGAATGTTTATTGGGTTTTCTTTTTGAATTATATTTTTTTTGTCTTATGCAATATTCACATCTCTTCTTATGATCATTGGTCTTGATAATTTGCCATCGATTATTTTCTTCAATAATTTGTTTTTATAATGCCTGCAAAATTTTGATAATATCTATTGAACAAAATAGTTATACATAATGTACCCGGTATATACACAGATAATATTTAAGGGATTCTATATCTCTATATTCCATAAAAAAATGGTGGTAATAATGGACATTGGATCATGAAAACCCGGCCCATTTAACAATAGCATTCAAGTAAGCAGGTTTTCGTCTTCCACAACTCTTCCTTCCTACTCCCGCCGCTTTACCTCTGCAACTAACACAAGAACTCACTTGTCCGTCGTTCTTGCTTCTCCTCGCCGCCGTCTTCCTAGCCTCTCCTCTCCGCCTTCCTTGCTTATCCTCGCCGTCGTCCTTGCTTCTCTTCGTCGCCGCCGTCAACAAGCCATCACCAGTTCTATCGAATTTTCAGTAAAAGCATCTCTTCTTAGCTGATAACCGGAAGGAAGCAAAAGAATGACTTCAGTGGCATTGAAAAAGAACTATCGTTGTGTTCAGTCATTACAACAATTTTACTCAGGCGGACCTTACACAGTCTCTTCCGATGGATCTTTCATTGCTTGTGCCTGCAATGACACCATCACCATAGTCGATTCCTCCAATGCTTCCATTAAATCCACCATTGAAGGTGATTCAGAGCCTGTTACAGCTCTTACCCTTAGTCCTGATGACAAGTTCCTCTTTTCTGCCAGCCACAGTCGACAAATTAGGGTTTGGGACCTCTCCTCCCTTAAATGCCTGCGTTCCTGGAAGGTTAGTTTATATTTTTTACATTTCCACTTTCATCCTTCATCATTTTGGTTATTCTAGTGTTTTTATGAATGGAGTTTTGCAGGGACATCAAGGTCCAGTAATGGGCATGACATGTCATGCTTCTGGTGGATTGCTGGCAACTGCTGGAGCAGATGGTAAAGTTCAAGTATGGGATGTTAGTGGCTTCTGCACACATTTCTTCAAGGGTCATAAAGGGGTTGTGACCAGTGTTGTTTTTCATCCTGATCCCAATCGTTTGCTTGTAAGTTTCTATAATTCAGAACCATATTATGTATGCTCTGTTTTCATTGATTCAAAGAAGTAACTCTTTCATTCTTTGTTGCACTTTTAGCTTTTTTCTTCAAGTGATGATACAACTGTAAGAGTTTGGGATCTTACACTCAAGAAATGTGTTGCAACTTTAGAGAGACATCGATCAACAGTGACTTCCATTGCAATAACAGAAGATGGATGGACTTTGTTGAGTGGTGGCAGAGATCAGGCATGTGTTAACTATTAGTTGATGATTGTGTTCTAGTAAGTTGGTGTTTTATTAGTTATTCACAATCTGACATACAAAAAACTTTAGGTTGTAAACATGTGGGACCTACATGACTACAGTTGCAAGATGAGTATACCTACAAATGAAGCAATTGAAGCTGTATGTGTTATTGGCACTGCATCTCCTTTTGTTTCATGTCTGAGAGGAAAGAAAATTGGTGATTCTCCAGCATTCCAATATCTTACAGTTGGTGAACATGGAATTGTTAGGATATGGAATTCTCATGGGTAAGGAGTTTTTTTATTTCTCGTCAACAAATATTAAACTAAACCACCTTCAAAGTTATAATATCCATAATTTTATTTGAAACAAACAGTGCAGTCTGCCTATTTCAACAATCATCTTCTGATGTTACTGTAAGCAAAGAAGATGAAGAGGAAGCAAAAAGGGGTTTTATATCTGCAGTGATGTTGCCATCTAATCAAGGGTTATTATGTGGCACTGCTGATCAAGAATTTCTCTTCTATTCACCAATTGAAACCCCTGAAGGAACTTTTCATTTAAATCTTGACAAAAGACTTGTGGGATACAATGAGGAGATTGTGGACATGAAGTTTTTGGGTGTTGAAGAACAGTTTCTTGCTGTTGCTACAAGTGTTGAACAGGTAAATTACTATTCTTTGACCTAGATACCTTCATTGATCACAAATTTTGGATTTGATTCTTGAATTTGTGTTATGAAATTATTATGTTGTTTACTTTCAGGTAAGAGTGTATGATCTTTCCTCCATGTCATGTTCTTATGTATTGTCAGGACACACAGACATTGTGCTATGTCTTGACACGTGTACAACTACCTCTGGAAGAACACTTATTGTAACAGGAAGCAAAGATAACACAGTAAGCTCTCTTTTTTTTGTAGTTAAAATGCAACAAATACTTTCATTTATTTGTTTATTACAAGATTTGAATTTCATTAAACCCTAATAAACTGACAGGTAAGATTATGGGATTCCAACAGCCATTGTTGCATTGGAATTGGAAGAGGTCACATGGGTGGCATTGGAGCTGTTTCTTTTGCAAAAAAGTCACAATCTTTTTTTGTTAGTGGTAGTAGGTAATAAAATCACAATCTTTTTTCATCCCATTTACATTTTTCTCAAAATGTCTGTATTATTTATATTATTTTGTTTTGTTTAGTGATCTTACCTTAAAGGTATGGAGTTTAGATGACCTTTCAGATGATGTAAACGAAGCATTTAGTTTAAAAACTAAAGCAGTCACTGCAGCCCATGATAAAGACATTAATGCCCTTGCTATTGCACCAAATGACAGCCTTGTTTGTAGTGGTTCCCAGGTATGTTTCTTGAATATTAAAAGTATTTTTTTTTTTAATTATGACTTAAATGTTATTGATTTTCAATTTTCATGCTTTGTTTATATATGATCAGGATCGAACAGCTCGCATCTGGAAGCTTCCAGACTTGACACCTGGCGTTGTGTTAAAAGGGCACAAAAGAGGAATATGGTCTGTGGAATTTTCTCCAGTTGATCAGTGTGTAATAACAGGATCTGGAGACAAGACAATAAAGATTTGGGCCATTTCAGATGGATCATGTTTAAAAACATTTGAAGGACACACATCAAGTGTGTTCAAAGTTCAGTTTGTTACTCGTGGGGCCCAGATTGTTTCTTGTGGTAAAGATGATGTCATCCTAAATTTTCTTTTATTATATTGTTAGCTACTGAATTATAATAATAATAATAATAATAATAATAATATATTGTTTCTTGTAGGTGCTGATGGTTTGTTAAAGCTGTGGACTGTTAAGACAAATGAATGTGTTGCAACTTATGATCAACATGAAGACAAGGTTATAATATATATATATATATATATATATATATATATATATATATATATATATATATTTTAAACAGTTTGGGAAATTTATATTTTATGTAATGTATAGGTGTGGGCATTGAGTGTTGGGAAGAAGACAGAAATGTTGGCGACAGGTGGCAGTGATGCTGTAATCAATTTGTGGCATGATTCCACTGCTGCTGATAAAGAGGATGAATTCAGGAAAGAGGTGACAACTCACAACTGATAAGTTTGCTTCTTTATTTACATAAATGCCATTCATGTTATTACTTTGAGTTATTAATGATTATTTTAGGAGGAAGGTGTATTAAAAGGGCAAGAGCTAGAAAATGCAGTGTTAGATGCTAATTACACCAAAGCAATCCATCTTGCCTTTGAGCTTCGTAGACCACATAAACTATTCGAGTTATTTGCCCAACTTTGCAGGTTATTATTATTATTATTATTAATTTATCATTAAATTTAATGTTGTTATTGTAAAAAGTCTGAAATTAAAAGATTTTGAAGGAGGGAAGATGCGAAAGATGAGGTGAAGAAAGCTCTTGGTGTTCTTGGAATGGAAGAACACAGACAATTATTGGAATACATTCGGGAATGGAATACAAAGCCAAAGCTATGCCACATTGCTCAGTTTGTTCTTCTTCACCTTTTCACAATCCTCCCCCCCACAGAGATAGTTGAGGTAAATTATTTTTTTTATAAAAAATAAAAAACAAAATGTCAAAATCTAATAAATGTTTTGTTTTTGATTAAGATGAAAGGTGTTGGGGAAGTGGTTGAAGGGTTGATCCCGTATTCCCAAAGGCATTACAGCAGGATAGATAGACTGGAAAGAAGCACATACCTTTTGGATTACACATTGAATGGAATGTCACTCATTGAACCAGAAACAGGTGTTGTGGAGAACCCTAAACCAAAACTCCAAGACTCTTCTATTGGTTTTTCTGATGAACAACAAGTTTCAAAAAAGTCTTCCAAGAAACGAAAGTCTCAGAAATCAAATGCAGGAAACAAGAAAGTTAAGGGAATGTAATGAGTTTTATGTAGATGTGGTTTACATTTTTTGTTATTATGTTCTGGAATTTTGTTAAGGGTCTAGAGCAATGATTCGTTACACACACTTGTTTTTTGTGTTATGGAATGTAGATGTGATTACACACTTATTTTTATGTTACGTTTTTATTTGGCTTATATCTTCTTTACCTTATTGAAATTGCTTTTTGTCTGCTTTGCGTTTTGTGCCTTTTTCTTTTTATGTACGGACAACATTAATTGAGATTTGACTTTGATTCTTTAAGGTGTATCATATATGTAAACGTGTTTGTTTTATTTAATGTAGAAAGCGCAATTTACTTGTTCTATTTATTTTCTAAATGTAACGTTCACTTTAGAATTTTTTTATATAAGTATTTGATTATTTTTAAATTAATAATTATTATAGTACACTGATCCATATATATATATATATATATATATATATATATATCTATATATATATATATATATATATATATTTCAAATAGCTAAGAAATTATATCATTATCTATATCGAATATTTTTCGTTTGATTACATTATAAAACTTGTACCTTTATATCATATTCTAAGACAAAGTTAGTATCTACTCTATACACAAGTTCATGTGTTCGGCCTTTATGTATAAATATATAATTTTACCTATAAAACCATATAATCATAATAAGTATGTATTTAAATATTAAAATACATTTTTATGCACAAATAGTTATATAAAAATGTATTTAATATGTAGTTTTTCATTTAAATTATGTTTTATACATAATAATACATAGATATATGTATTTCTATGTACAAATACATATTTTTATATAATGTTAACATACAGTTTAAATCAGGTATATATATATATATATATATATATATATATATATATATATATATATATATATAGACACAAAAGTACATGAAAAATACGTATTTAATGTGACTTTTTATATTAAAAACGTATTTAATACATTAATAATATGAAAATGTACATATAACATATTTATATTGAAAGATACAATAACTACGTATACGAATATATATTATATACAAAGACATATTACTAATTACAAAATCATGGTTTGTTTTGGTGGTAACACTCTTACCAATACTTAGAGCATCCACAATACAAGTAGTATAAGAGTTGAATAGAATGATGACTAGTATTGAATAAGAGTTGAATGAAGTGTGGGTGATGATATGTAGTAGAGTTGAATGATCATTGAATGATTCAACAAAGGAAATAAAGTGGTGATTAGGATTGAATGGATGTTTAATGGGTGTGGGTGGTGTTGTATAGATGTTTAATGGATGATGTGACAATCCATTGAACTGAAGTGTATAGAGTTCAATGGATTGTGGATGCCCTTAGAAGAGTCTAGGGTTCAATTTCCATCCTTTTTTTTATTTTTTTATTTTTTTATTTTTTTGATATTTTCGAGTAGCCAAATTCACAAACTCAAGTTCAATGGCATACCACGGTTCGAATATGATATGCACAGTCATCAACCAATGTGGCTACACGTGACATGACAACTAGCTAAGAAAAAGGTAACCTGATAAATGACAACTTTGAAAAAACTGTGCAAATTCCAGAGTTTTATGCAAAAAAAGAAAAAACGATGTCGTAGTAAAATTGAAAATTTGGCAACGTTAAAGGGCCTTTATATCATTTTCCCAAAAATTAAAGGCCAAAACAAGTAAACAACCAAAAGTTTATTTAAGATATTTAGAATCGTAACTAACACCAACTACATACCACTTTGCTTTATGCTTAATTTAGGTTTTATTTTAATTTCTTATGCATGAAAGTTTCCGTTTTTTTGGTATCACATTAATATGGGTTTGGCTAAAACTCTCACATATCTTGATTTATACTAACAAGTAACAACTACTTAAATACTAGTATTCTTCCATAACTCCATTCATAAACTCCATCAACCAAGTGTTGTAAATACAAAGCGACAAAAAATAAAGATCATCAAACCCATGCTATGCTTCAGGCTACAACTCTCACATATATGATCAAATATTCTGGGTCTTGTTTTAAAAAAATATAGAAAAATATGATTTTGATAAAAAAATATTAAATTTGGGTAAAAAGTGCTAGGAAAGTAAATGAATACTAAAAAATAGATAATGGTGAAAATATTGTTTGATAATTGATTTGGATAAGAATGAAAGAAAGGTAGATAATGGACTAAAAAGTAAGTTATTATATAGTCAAGGGAGAAGTTATGTAACTTTCTGTTTTGTCTTATTAATCACCCGACCCGGATCATCTAACAAACGTAGACAGATTTTTATTTCGTCACCACTACTCCCCCTCGTCGCCACTTTTCGGCTACAATTGAAAGAAGAACTCGCCGGCTGCTTTCAGGTGACTATTTTGATTGCTTAAAACTATAAATTTAATCTGTTTTTCATCAATTAATTGTGCAATTATAGTTAGAAATCGGGATTATCGATTTTTGTTATTCGATCATATCAAGATTTTAGCGAATCAGGTTTTCTGCACTTTGGAATCAATTATGGTGGCGTTCCGTTCTTAGGGTTTAATAGTTTTTAATCTCTCTGAATACGAAATTCGTTTTAGAGTTCAATATTTATGGGTTTCTCTGTTAGGGTTTAACGATAGCGAATCGTAGAAGTTATTTGCTTCTATTTTTGCCTGTTTTGGAACGATATTTAGGGTTTTTGATTCTTTTTACTCTTTCTAAATTCATGAACGCAATTTAGAGTTATATCGTTATGGGTTTTGCTGCTAGGGTTTAAAGATAACGAATCCTAAAAGTTAATTGCCTCGATTTTTATCTCTTTTGGAACGATATTTAGGGGTTTATTCTCAGCGTTTCACGAACTATATTTCTTAATTGAAGTAATTAGTTTTGTGTTATATAATTGAAATCATCAATTCAGTTTTGCTTACGTTCATGGGTTTTGAATTAGTGCTTGATGATTCTGATACTGTGATACATCCAGTTGGGTATGAACAATTTTTATTTTCTCAAGAACAATAGAAAGTTCTGTATAGAGTTCACCCATTCATTACCTTTCATGGGTATTTGTTATTAGGGTTTATCTACTTAGTACTTATATTGAATCTTTCTATCTTCAAATGTTTGTTGAAAGGCAACCTTGATGTGTTCAGAGTTGTAAAAATGGTGAAGATCCTCTTAACGGGCTCCAAGAAAAGACAAGATCCACCTGAAATATTGGAGGTTCAACAACAAAAAAAGCAGAAATTGGATCATGGTGTCAAGATTGAGTGCTTAAAGATTCTCAAAACATTGATGACCCATAAATTCGGACCCGTTTTCAATCAACCCGTGGACCCTGTCGAGCTCGGTATCCCTGATTATTTCTCGATAATCTCTCATCCCATGGATTTGGGCACAATTCATAACAAATTAGAAGACAATATCTATTCTTTTCCTGAATCATTTGCTAATGATATCAGACTTACATTCTCAAATGCCATGCGATATAATCCACCCAAAAACTCTGTTCATTTGATGGCAAAAGAGATGAACGATCTTTTTAACAAAATTTGGAAATCTGTTGAGCCAAAGTTGATGAAACCAAGCAAAAATGGTGGAGAAAAGGTGAAGATTTGTAAACCGGTTAAAAAGCTAGGTGTTCATGTTAGTGTTGGTGTAAAAGTAAAGAAAAGTGAAGATATAATAAGTAAGGCTTCAAGTTGTTCAGAGGGGAAGACTTTGATGACTTATGAGGAAAAGATGAGGATTAAGAAGGAGTTAATGGTGGCATTGAGAGGTGAAATCACTGGACCTTTGCGTGGTTTTTTAAGGAAATATGGTTTGATTTATTCAAGGAAAGAGAAGATTGAGAGTGTTTTTAATTCATTTGGGGATGATACTTTAATGGAGTTGAAAAGATCCTTGAAAGGTTCTTTGTGTTTGAGTTTGGAAAAGGTAACTGTAACTGTTACTGATACTTGTTACTGATACTGATACTGATATTGTTATTATTATAAGGTTTTGATGTGAGTATTAAATATTGTGTAGGGCAAGGACGATTGTGTAAAACCACAATGGACAAAGGAAGCATCTGAGAGACAAAAACTTGAAGGTGATATTACAATAATACCCTTTAGGTGCTGTTTCTTTTGGCTTAATGTAGAAAGAACAAATCAATAGAGAAAGTTAAGGAAATGAGATTTTTCCATTAAGTCATAATTATGTGATTTTTCCTATCAATGTCTAATATCTAAAATACCCTTTAGTAAAAGCAAATAATTAGATCTTGTGCATCCAAATCATCGGTTTGTTAGCAAAATGGTATTGGGCAAATAGGTAATTTGCACTTAGTGATATGGGTGTATCTATATATGTATAAATATACACTTGAAAACCAAACAAATATGAGAAAGAAATGGCCTTATAATTTATGCATTAGATTGGGTGTGTTTATTTTTGATGATGAGAATGAGAAGGGCATTTATGTCTTTTGCACATCATATTTATTGATTTTTTTTGTTTACAGAAAAGTCAAATATTGAATCAAGAATCAGAGCTGCTCGAGCTGCTAAAGAAGCCATACTAGAAAGTGCAAAATCCGATTTGCAAATGAAACGCGATAAAGAAAGGGAAAGAGTAGAAAAGGTTTGTTTTCATCTACCAATCTTTCTAACATTTTGTTTATTGGAATATAAGGGCAAAATGATCATTTTATCTTTATTGGTTACATTTCATTTGTGTGTTCAGATGGAAAGAACAGTAACCATGGATGACAACCTAACAGTTCTAAGGGAGCTTGAGAAGTTATGTGAAATTTCAGGGATTAAAAACCCATTGGAGAAACTTGGGCTAAGATTGAAAGAAGAGTATTATTATGGATATGAATACATTGATGATGATGATGATGATGAGTTAGAAGATGGAGAGATCTTTTGACCCAAAAATGTTAGGAATTTATTGTTGCAAACACCGAAAATGTGGGTATTTTTGTGCGTTTGTGTGAGTGTTTCTCAAGTGAAAAAAGGGAATAGGAGTGTAAATGACGAATTCTTTTGTCTGAGAAGGAATGGGTTGTTTAGGTGGTGTTCTTGTAGTGAATATATATATAATATTATATATAATATATATTGCACAGGTGGTATATTTGCAAAGCTGGAAAATGTGTAATGTTGTTGATTTGCTAAAGTGATATGTAGGTATTTTTTAATTCATCTTGAATGAGGTATCTAGTACATAGAACCAAATGCGTGTGTTTAAAAGAAAATGTATTGTAGACTAGAGTTTTGGTATGTCGTTTTTTTTAATTCGTACTTAGTATTTTATCACATTCCTTGTGTTATTTTATTACACCAATTTTCATTACTTTCTTTCTATCAAACAAGTTTTCACAACCTTATTCCAATTGGATTAAAGCCGTGGAAAAAGTCGGGTTCAAGGAGAAGAAGTCCATCATGGAAAAGAATACAAATCATGAAAAACAAAGATATACACATACGAAGATATACAAATCAGAATACAAATTGTGATCCAAATCGATGTTGACGCAAGGATGAAATAACAGACAAATATAATTGAGATTGAAATGTTTTTTTGTAGTTTATATTTTTATTTTTGTATATACATATTTTAACTTTATTTTTGCTCTTTTTATTTTTAAAAAATTGTATTTAGTTTTGTAGTTTTTCTCTAATAATGAATGTATTTTATTTTATTTTATTTTTTATTATTTTTTTAAAATTAAATGATTGTTTTATGTTTTATTATTTGGCTTTTATTTATTTTAAATATTTTATTAAAATAATAAGGATAACCGGATAAGAGATAAGAAAATATCTAACTCCTTCTATTTTTATTATATTTTATTTTTACCCCTGATTATATTCTAAATTTATATATTTTCCATTTATTTAACTATTTAATTATTCTTATCACGGTATTTCATAAATTTATATTACTAATTTAGTAATTTCTAATGATGATCTAATTTAAAATATTTCATATTAACTTATAATATGTTTAAAAAACAACTAATTAAATATAAAGGTTTTATAAATCATTTTAAATAGACGAGGGTTAATTAATTATATTTATAAAAAAACATTTTAAATAAGCTTAACCATTGGAGTTGGAACTTATTTAAAGGTTAAGATTAATTATATGCTGATGTGACATTTATTTTAAATGATAACATAGTACAACTATTGGAGATGCTTTAAGTTTGAAAAATGAGTAAAATTGAAAAAAGAGAGAAAAAAATGAAACTGGCTCGAGGGAAAGAGATCTTGATATGACATGTTGATGTGGAGTGTAAGATAAGAGGGGTATAAAACACATTTTTATTGTAGCTAAAACATTAACATTTATTTAATTTTCTTTATAAGAAAGTTGAGAGAAGGAAGATTGAGATTGTATGAATATGTCTAAGAAGATCAGAGCCGGTCCATATCGATTTGAAGCCCAGGGCAAAAATAAAAAATAGGGTCCTTCAAAAATTAATAACCGCAATATATATATATATATATATATATATATATATATATATATATATATATATATATATATATATATATATAATATAAATTGGAGTGTGTTTAAAGGATGTTAGTTAAAAAATAATAACAAAACAAAATTAAAAAATCGAACGACTGAACAACTGAACCATTTTGAAAAACTGTCGGATTGGTGTTGGAAAAAAACAATAAAAAATCTAATGTTGGTGAAAATTGTAAAGTAAAAAATAAACTTAAAGATGTCCCGTCTAAACAATATGTTACTATGATTTTTATTAACAAATCTACAATAATTAATTAGTATACATTAAAAGACGGTGCAAGTTAGAAAATTTCATATATAAACAGAAACATTACAAATGGTAATCGGCAATAAAAACATCAAAATTTTACATGGTTTGTGAATAACAAAAAAAATAAAGGGGCCATTTTTGTAATTTGAATTCAAATTCAATAAAATGGCGTATGATTCAAATATAAAACATGTTAGTAATAGTCGTTTACTTATAATAATTGAAAAAATAAAAGGCACATGACGCTAATAATTGCCGGAATCATGGAGTTCTTGAGTATAATGGGGTAGTTGAAAAAATATTTATCATTTTAATGTCCTTTCAAAAATATTTACCAAAATGATATTTTTCTCGTTTTCTTTACTTTTTAGTTTTCTTTTCAGTTTTTTTATTATTATTATTATTATTTTTTTATTATTTTTTTTATTTTAAATATCCTTTTTTTCTCTTTTATTCCACCTTTTTATTGTTTATATATATATATATATATATATATATATATATATATATATATATATATATATATGTTTAGGTTCTATGGAAAACAAAAAACCCTAAAAATCATTAAAATACATAAAAAATACTTAGAGATCACAAAACTTTTTCTTGAAATAACCACAACAAATACCATAAAAATATTTTTTTAAACTACCTTGGCATAGACGGATATCGTTTTCGGTATGGATATTAAAGAAAGAAGAAATGCCAATCTTTGTGGAATTTGTAGGCAACCTGGGCATTATCTAAAACAATGTCCGTCTATGCCAAGGTACTTTAAAAAATATTTTTATGGTATTTGTTGTGGTTATTTTCTTTTTTTTACTGGTAAGGATTTGTTACCGGTTCAAATTCAAGCTAATTGTGATGTTTTTTTTTCTTTTTGTAATAAACAATGTTGGAGTTTATTTTGTGGTGTTTTTTTTAACAAACAATGTTGAGGTTTTGTTTGTTTTTTTACCTTAAAAATATTGTATGTGAATGTTGGAGTTTTTGCACCTTAAAATATAGGGTTAATGTTATAAAAAGTCTCAAGTTTTCAGGGTTTTGTCGGTTTTGCCCAAAGTTGAATTTTATGTCCGTTTTTACCCTAACATTTTCGAAAAAATGTTCGGTTTTACCCTTTTACCGGTGATAACAGATTTTCCAGGTTACCATTATATTAAATTCACAAAAAAACCCTTAGGTTTACCCTTTTTTGCGTTTTTACCTTTAAGTTTATAATTTGTTTACACTTTTACCGTAAATATTTTTTTCATAATATACGTATTCATGTAGAAAAATCGTATTTATATACGAAAAAATGTTTAATTAAATATTGTATTTATATTTTTTTAATGTTATATATATATATATATATATATGTTTGTTTGTGTGTGTGTGTGTATGTTTGCAAGGTTATACCATTTAAAAAGATAAATAATATATATATATATATATATATATATATATGTTTGTTTGTTTGTGTGTGTGTGTGTGTTTGCAAGGTTATACCATTTAAAAAGATAAATAATATTTTTAGAATTATGAATACGTGTTTTATAGATATAGTTTTTAGAAGTATAAATACATATTTTTACATTATTATATATAAATATGTATCTATACTTCTAAAAATATATTTATACTTAAAAAAAACATATATCAAAATACATATTTACACATCTAAGAATATATGTATATACTTATATAAACATGTTTATGATATATATACTTAAAAAAAATATATGTATATACTTATATAAACATAATTATGAATATATGTATCTTAAATGGTTTATCCAAGAAAAAACCCATACACACACACACATACACACACATATATATATATATATATATATATATATATATATATATATATATATATATGAAGAAATAACATTAAAAAAAAATGTAAATACAATATTTAATTAAATTTTTTTCGTATATAAATATAATTTTTCTGCATGAATACATATAATATGAAAAAAAAATACAAAGGGTAAAAGTGTAAAAAAAAATATAAACTTAAGGGTAAAAACGTAAAAAAACTAAAAACTTAAGGGTTTTTTTGCGAAGCTAATATAATGGTAACCTGTTATCACCGGTAAAAGGGTAAAACCAAACATTTTTTTGGAAAATGTTAAGGTAAAAACGGACATACAATTCAACTTTGGGCAAAACCGACAAAATCCTGAAAACTTGAAGGTTTTTATGACATTAGCCCTAAAATATATTGAATTTTCAATTTTTGATGGCGAAAATTTGATGGTAAAAAGGTTGTATAAGAAAAACAAATATTTAAAAAAAAAAAAAAACAGAAAAAAAAGATTAAAAAAATCTGTTATTAAAAAAAGACAGTAAAAAAAGGTTAGAAAGCTAAAATAAAAGCTGTCATTTAAAAAATATATATAAATAAACAATAAAAAGGTGAATAAAAGAGAAAAAAATAAGATATTTAAAATAAAATAAAAAAAACTGAAAAGAAAACTAAAAAGTAAAGAAAATGAGAAAAATACTATTTTAGTAAATATTTTTGAAAGGACACTAAAATGGTAAATATTTTTTTCAACTACCCAATTATTGTTAAAAACTCAGATAAAGAGAGGCGGCTACATATAATATCTCTAACCAATTGAGCTACTACATTTTTTATACTTTTTAACAAAACGTGTGGTGTGTATATATATATATATATATATATATATATATATATATATATATATATATATATATATATATAAACAAAATTAATTTTAGAGCACAAATCATAGTGTGGCCCCGGGCCGTCGCCCACCCTATTGGGCCGGGCCTAAAAGAGGCTACCATCAACAATGGAAGAAGGGTTGAGTTAATGGTGATTGATGATAATAGAAGGAGACGACGTCCTAAAAAGAATAAAGATGATAGTATGAGGCTAGACATAAAAAAATCTTGTTTTTTCAGAGGACATGACCTAAAGAGGATGCAAATGCTATTGAGTAGCTTGGTCTCTTTCTATGTTTTTGTTTTATGATTTTTGTTGTTGATACATGCTTCTAATCTATATGCTTGTATTATAATTTATTCATATTTTATTTTACACATTGACTTACTCTCCCTTTGTTTTTCCTATTTGCAGGTTGTCGGATTCATTCCCTATTGTTATGATTTTCCATGTTTTCTTACTCATGTTTTCTTACGATATCATTGTTTGCCTATTTTGCAAGTTATTGTTTTTAACATGTAAAAGGTCTTCTATGTGACACAATCCCTCTATTATTTTTAAGGCACGAATGTCGACATCCGCCTCCGATACCCCATTTTGATGGGATTAACATGGTCTGTTGCAATGTTGCAAAACTCGTTAGGCGTTTCTAGGGGCGTTTGACTAACGCCTAGAGAGTATTCGGTCTAGGCGGGGAGTATTCGGATTGGATAAATTATATGAAATTAATTTTAAGAAAATTATATATATAACAAATATAACAAGTTTATTAAAAATTATAACAAAATAGATGAATATTAATAACAACTAGAAAAGATTCCCCGGCGTTGCCGGGGTCGGAAGTTATTGCTTTGTAAAGTAAAGTAGCATGTTGGTTGCTTTTTGTCCGTTAATGTGAGAGTAATTTGGTCTTTTCAGGTAGTAGGGACTGAATTTGTCACCATGAGTAAACCATATGGACCATTTATGTAATTTTGGCGGTGGTGGTGGTGGTGATGGCAGATGGTGGGTGGGTTTATGGTATTGGGTGAGTATTTTCTAATAAATAAAACATTAATTTAAAACCAAAAAAAGAATGTTAAATCTGGTAAACCACATGGTCCAATCGTGTAATTTTGTCTAACAATAATAATAATAATAATGAGGGACCATTTCTGCCAAAAGACTAAATACTAATAATATGTAATAAAAGGCGAGGGTTATGAAAAATTCAAACCAAAGTGAAAGGGTTGTTTGTGAACAAAAGCATAAAGATGAATGGTCAATGTTGTAAGTTGGAGGACCAAAATTGACAAAAAAGGTGACACTTTACTGTTAAAACTTTTCATAACTTTAATATATATATATATATATATATATATATATATATATATATAATAATTATAGATTTTTTTTTCTAAAAAAAAGTAAAAATTTCCGAGTTTTTCCGATTCCGAATTTTTCAGATTTTAACCGAATTCGACCGATTTTGACCAAGTTTGACCGATTCCTAATTAGGCGCCTAGGCCTCTACCCGATTCCGATTAATCGGTCGCGTAAGCTGACTTTTGCAACACTTGTCTGTGTAGTTACTGCTAATGTTGTTGCATCAAGTTAGTGGAAAAGAATTAAAAATGCACATGTGCTGACCCCAACTATAGAGGCAAATTTTATTGGCCAACAATGCAGAAGTTTGATGTTTTATTATAACGCCGATGTACTAGAAGCATTGGAAGTCTATCCTTGAATTATGTAACATGCTTTATGTATCTTATGATAAAACAGTTTTTTTTTTTTTTTTTTTTTTTTTTTTTTTTTTTTGTATTTTGAACACTAATATATTATTTCCATCATTTTCATTCTTCTTACCAAAACGATACAAAACAAGACAATATCTTACAAACATATTACAATGACATTCAACTAATTAGGGAAGAGCCCTTATATGGTTACTATTAAAGAACATTTTCATTTAAGCCATTATTTACTAATTAAAATTGGGTAGCATGCTACAAACACTTACAATAAATAATTTCCGACCAACATAAGATATATCACATCGGCTATTTTGGATTGGGCACTGATAATTTGAACTTTTTCGTAGGCATTTAGTGTATTAAATAATAAAACAACTTATCGCTGTTTTTTTCTCACAAATTTTTTTTATAACGATTTTTAGATAAAAGACTGAAATTGTTTATTAAAAATAAAAACAAGGTTTAATTGGGCTTGAGTGTGAGTAGACACTGGGTCCGGCCCAATAAGCTTAACAGAATTTCAATCCATAAACAGATTCAGTTATTATTTCTGATTAGAGAGAGAAATTTCAGTTATTGTTTCTGATTAGAGAGAGAAACATTATTCGAGAGAGAGATAGAAAGATGGTGGAAGAGGTAGAGAAATCGGAGGAGCAAAAGACGAATGATGCGAGTAAACACAGGGGTGTTCGATCGGACGGAGAAGAAGAAGAACGGCGGAAAGAAGGCGGAGAGAATGGCGGTGGTGGGGATACGTCTCCGAGACCTGGCAAGGACATAACCAAACGCCATCCGCTTGAGCATTCATGGACATTTTGGTTCGATAATCCTTCTGCGAAGTCTAAGCAGGTCGCTTGGGGTAGTTCGATCCGTCCAATCTACACTTTCTCCACTGTTGAAGAATTCTGGAGGTATGTTCATGTTTATGTTTCTGAATTCTGTGATCGTTTCTAAAATATGCTTTCTTCGTTATATTAAGGTGAATCAGATAGGTTCTAACTTGTCGATTTCTCTCTTTTTCTCAATCATTATAATACTTTGGTCCGGTTTCCAAAATGCTAAACGAAATCAATTAGTAAAGTCAGATGAAACTCGGTGAATTAGACCATATTTTGAAGATTTCTCTTTAGATTATCGTATATTAAAGAAACCTAAAAGACGTCCATGGAACTGTGGCTATCTTATTGAATACAATCATGTTTACAAGATGAATCTGCAGATGCAATTCTCTAATCTGTTTGCTTGTTATCCATGCAGCCTTTACAACAATTTACATAAACCAAGCAGATTGACTGCAGGAGCAGATCTCCATTGTTTCAAAAACAGAATTGAACCTAAATGGGAGGATCCCGTTTGTGCTCCTGGTGGAAAGTGGACCATGACTTTTCCCAAGTCAAAATCCGACACATGTTGGCTCTATACGGTATTCTACACAGATATATACTCATATGAATTCATGTTATTATGTTTGCTCTAACATCTTTCTTATATGAAAGTTGCTAGCAATGATCGGAGAACAGTTTGATCATGGAGATGAGATATGTGGTGCAGTTGTAAATGTTAGATCAAGGCAAGAAAAGATAGCTCTCTGGACCAAGAATGCTGCCAATGAGGCTGCTCAGGTACTTTTTAGACTATTCTTGATTCAATTTCATAAACCATTGTAATGTAATTTTGATACGAATTTGACAAAGTTTAGATATATAAATGTAAAAAAATGTTGTGGGCTTGTTTGCAGATGAGTATTGGGAGGCAATGGAAGGAATTTCTTGATTACAATGATGTCATAGGGTTCATATTCCATGTAAGCGTGTGTGTGTATTTTTAATCCATGCAAGTCATTTGATTTTGACTAATAATTGTGTGTATCACATTCAGGAGGATGCAAAGAAACTTGATAGAGGTGCCAAAAATAAATACACGACATGATGTGGGCAACATTTCTCAAAGATTTACATGAATGCTGCATTCGGTTTATGGTTTGATTTGGGATCGAAGTGTTACATGTCAATTTGGTTTTTAGTTTAGTTAGATTGATTTTTTAGTTCCAGTTTGATTACTTGATCACAATCTTTATAAAATGGGTTCGAATGGACCAATTAAAACTGGATTCGACATGCATTGCATGTCCTTCTTCTTAGGACCTCATAAAACTTGCTCTATGACCAAGTTACAGTTTATAACTGTAACCTCAAACCTGGTCATGGACTGGTTATATTACAATCGTTATCCAATGGTAAAAAAGATTAGACTTAAATATTTAAATCAACTTAACCTAAAAGAACTAAAAAATTTCTTCATGTACATGGAAGACACCAAAAATTTCCTTTGTCTCGTTAATCCCATTTTCACTGAAACAAACCATATATAGATTTTATATTGGGCAAATAGCAGAAAAGTCACTATATTACTATAAAATTTCGATTTTGACATCGATTTTTTTTTCTCAATTATGTCATTACATTTATAATTTTGTTGCAATATCAACCAATTGACTGATTTAGGAAATATTATTGTGGTTTAGAAGCTTAATTTATACAAAAAATAAATGAAGGTCGGTCCAATGGTTCAAACTCACTTACAAGTCAGCGAAAAGGGCATAGTTACCATTTCAGGAGATGTTATTGTGGTTTAGAAGTTCGATTTGCACAAAAAAATAACTCACTACACTAGACCACACCTAGACACACTAACACCCACATGCTCCTAATACCCACAACTATCTTCATAGACGCTCCTCCTAGGATTCTCCCCAATCACGGTTCTGTTCTACTGGTTGCCTTCGCGCATGCAAGTTGTACACAATACAAGATCAAATGGACTATCAAATAAATGACTCTACCCTAAGTCCACAACCAAACAAGGAACATAAAATAAAACTAAGCCAATCATTATAGGGCTATATAATCCTAATCGTATATAACAATACAACATACACCTAACAATAACATAATCAAATAGCACATAACAAGCAAATCCCTAGGCTATAAGGCATCACTAAAGTCAGGCAATACTATCCTACAGTTCCTGAAGGGATCCTTAGCTTATCCAATAGCATGTATTTATAACAATTCACATATCAACAAGCTTAAATTCAACATATGTAACAAGTATGGGTATTATGAGAATCGCTTCCTGTTTGGGTTCTGGCTGACAGTACACATCATATCTACTTGTAAAACCAAGGTTGAGTTAGAGGTCCACGTCCACGATCCTAAGCCAACAATCATACAAGAACATGTCAAGAGACCGAGCCCATGTCTCCAAGCCAACCATTTTATTACAATTTCTTTTTCAAAATCATTTGTGAAAATTCTTGGATCCTAGTTTGAGTTTGGATTCACATACGTGTTTCTCAAAATCCCTCAAACCAGGCTTCTGGTACCAACTTGTAACGTCCCATTTTCACAATAAAGTTTTTCATTTTTAATTAAGTTAAAACATTACGTTTATAAAATCTCAATTAAGAAAACCATTTGTTCCAAAATACATTTGTTTGAAAAGCAGAGAAATGTAATAAATACGAAATCTCCATGGTTGCAGATGAATGTGTATAGTTATGCCTTCGCCTTCCCACGGTCACCAATGGTACCTGAAAAACATTTAATCCATAATTGGAAGATAAAGATTAGTGAGTTCCTCCAAAATACCACACACCACAATATACATACAATGCATGCACACATGATCCTTAAGTTTGTCTGGTCTGCCTCGCAAGGCCTACAACATCCCTGTACCACTTCTTAGCCTACAGTCTGACTGACCCGCCTTGTAAGGCCTACAGCTCACATGGAGTGCCCTTTCTCAGCATACAGTTGACCCACAACTGGCCTATAGCACACCGCTGGCCCACCTGGGTTTCTTGGCCTACAACACAAAGCAGGACTGCCTCAACCCAATCATCCACAATATGTCGACATATGCAACAAACAAGCAATCAAGTAAACATATAAACACAGATAACTATCTACCCTAGTCTACCTGTATAACAACTCACTACCACATACCATGCTTCATACAGTATACTACGCTACTATTGGTAGATCTCCAAGGAATGCATAGCTATATGCAACCAAAGGTGAGATAGACATTCGAACATGTAATCCCACTCTAGTGCCACAAAAAACAAGGAACATGAAAGAAATCCTAGATCAGGAGCTCTCAGGCTATCCTACGTGACTAGATACATCCCCTAGGGCACTCCACTACCACTACTCCTATATCCTGGCACAGAAGGATATACACTGTAATACATAGTAAAGTGAGGAAAATCACCTGAATCGAAGACCCAAGGAAACACAACAACACACTCACTCCATGCACTGATCGCTCACGCGAACCGACTAGCACCTGGAACCTTAATCAATAACCCAATTACTTCATGTTTGACTCGAAGTCAAACTGGTCAAAAAGCCAACGGTTAACGATCGACAAAATGCAACATTCAACTCCCACCATGACATGGAGGACTCTTGGCCACGTCGTGGGAACATCAGGACAAAACAGTCGCAAGAACCTCATACGTCATGACGTGATGAGCATATTGCCACGTCGTGGGAACTAATCCTAGACAACTTATTTGATTAAGCCCTTAATCTATTACGACACACACTTATCTCCTCCATAAGGCTTCCTTATACCCAATGAGTCATAAAAATCGTTTCTTTATTGCCATGCATGTCCAATGCATGCCTTTTCCAAGATAAGTCATAACAATGGTGGAAATAAGGCCAAAAATCTCATGCATGAGCCACAACCCTACCAAATCTCAGATCTGGAACACTACATCTCAAAGGGACTTCAAGGATCCATAAGGTTACCAACTTTATGGAATCTATCCACTCAAAATCTCCCAAACATGGAGAAAATTCACAAAAAGCATAGATCTAGAAGCATATAACACAAATATTGGAACTTAAACACTCACAATGGTCCAAAGTAAGTGCTAGAAGATGATGCTGAGACTTGCAAGTTAGATCTATGCACCAAGGATTCTTCATTCTCTTTCAAGACACCAAAAACACCACCGAAAGCTTAAGAAATCAACAATTGAGGTAAGGGTTTCGTTTGGAAGGGTTGGAGGTTGAAGAAGATGCCTTAAACCTTGAGTTTAGGGGCTTAAATATGGGAAAACCCTAAAAGATCATGGGCTTGGGTTGCCGCTGCTACCACGTCATGGCGGCCATCCAGATACACCTTCTTGCATTTGGCATGCCACGACGTGGTGCTCCAATCACCACGTCGTGACACAAGGCTTTACCCAAAAACTTTACTTTTAATCTCCCAGGCCCTCTATAACACCCCGAATTCAGAAGACCTAGAAAGGAAAGGAAAACCTCAAAATCAGAAGGCGACTCGTCGAGTAGGTGGGGTGACTCGACGAGTAGGAGCGTATTCCGGGTCGCGGGTTAAGTGACCTACTTGACGAGTCGGGGGACCGAATCAGCGAGTTGGCCAGGGTTTGGGAAAACCTAAATTCGGGACTTGGCACCCTATTTAAGCATCTTATTCTCCTCCTCTTGGTTCCATTCCCGACCCCCATTGTCCAGAACTTAACCCACGAAACCTTAGATCATTTTGTGAGTGTGTGAGCCATTCTTGAGTGTTTTGGTGTTCTTGGAGGCTAGAAGAAGAATAAGGAGATTGAAGGTTCAAGGAGAAACTTGTAGATCCAGCAACACCATCTCATTTCTATCATTTCCTGGTAATCAAGTCTTCATCTTGACTTATAGCTTCTTAGATCTCTTTATGTCCACTTTATGAGAGTTTTTGTCCATGGAGCTTGATCTATGGGGCAAGTATGTCCCAAGCAAAGATCCTTTCAGATCTGGAGTCCCTAAGAGTGGTTAAGGCATAAAGCTGCAAGCTTTATGCCATTGGAACCCTCATGCAAGCTTTAAGGAGTTGTTATGGCCTTTTAAGCCTCAAAAGGCCATGCATGGAAGAAAAGGCAGAGACTTTATGTGTCCTTCTGGTGTATAGGGCCTAGATCTATGTTGTTATTCCTTGGATTGGAGTAACAAGAGTTTTGGACATAGAGTTATGTGTTAAGGAGCTAGGGTTTTAGCTTAACCCATTAAGAAGGATTAGGAGTGGGTAAAGTTGGAAACTTTACCCTCATGAGGGCATCTTCAACATGTAGACGAAGTTTGGGGTTTGGATCTGAAGTGTAAGGGCTTAATCTGTTAAGATGGCCAATCAGACTGAGGGACTCGGCGCGTCCAGGGAGGGACTCGACGAGTCTAAGTGAACTGTCCCGTTTTTGTTATGCTGGAAATCGGCGAGTCTGAGGGCTGACTCGACGAGTTGACTCGATAAATCGCGACCTTGAGTAGCTAGTGAACTCGGCGAGTCAGGGGTTGACTCGACGAGTTGGATCGCGATTTCAAGATTTTGACTTATTGGACTTGGCGAGTTGAAGGAGCAACTCGACGAGTTGGGTCAACTTGGAGCGTTGACTTTGACTTTGGCCAAGGTTGACCTAGTTAGACTATTGAGAGTATTTTGGTCTAAGTGTTATTTGGGTATTGGTAGCTCGGGGAGCCGAAGGATTAGCAGTTCGGGGAATTTCCAGATAGCAGCCAGAGGGGTTTCAGCAGGACTCCAGCAGTGCAAGGTGAGTCTCCTCACTGTGTGAATGGGTCTAAGGCACCAATGCCGGCCCATTATGTTTGTATAGTAGGAAGACCCGGGGGGTTAGCTCTAGGCATTATATATTGTATGTCCCAGATTACAATCAGATGCCGGGCGAGGCCCGAGGGAGTTTTGTATGTGCATGTTAGATTATACTTGTTTCTTTGTGATACTTGTATGTGCGTGGTAGGGAGGTGAGTGTGGGCGAGGTCCCGTATCTCATCACTAGATGAGTATGGATGGGGTTCCATATCTCAATATTAGCAGAGTAGGGGCGAGGCCCGTGATAGGAGAGAAGTGAGTGTGGGCGGGGGCCCGTATCTCACTAACAGCAGGAGTATGGACGGGGTTCCATAGCTCATCAGCAGCAGACTAGGGGCGGGGCCCAGGTTAGGCGAGGCCTTAGTACAGTAGTACAGTAGAGTATGTTTCCTTTATGTGCTAGTATGTGA